ATTTGTAAATTTCATCTTCTACATGAAGAGAAAGTGCAACCACCAGTCGCCATAGAATGACCATTTATTTAAATGTAATTACAATAATATTGGAAACGGGCAAGTATAATACATTTAAAAAAAAGTCTACAGAGTTAAGCATTAGGGCTTAAGGAACCAGTACATAGTGCACTGAATCAGATTCCTAACAATGACATTGGAATGGGGGTGAGTTCCCCATCTACAGCACACACACTCACGGTGAGCAGGTGTCTCCCTTGCTTGAAATCCTTGATCCCTGCCAGTCTGTTGAGCATGCACTCCAGACCTCCACACTGTGCCATCACTCCTGCCATCTTATACACTTCCTCCTCATCCTCCTCTTCATCTGCAAAGCAGCAACAGGACAGCCATTAGTGCACTCGGGTCACAGAGTCTAGCATCACAGCTACAGACAAAACTGTCACAACAAACTAGAATTGAAAGGAGAAGCACATTTAATAAGACGGTAGTAAGCTCTGTAAACTCACCATTCTAGAACCTTTATTATTATTATTGACTTAAATCCCTTGACATCTACAGTACAAGGCATTCAAATACAAATCATATTAATGGAATAGCTGCTTGACATGAATCCTGATTATCTTTAACATATATGCTATTGTAAAAATTAATATGAATGCAAAAGCTGTCAAACCAATTCTAGCATTAAAATGATTTTTTTTCATGGAAAGCATGACTCAGGCACAGGAGCCAGAGATGAGATAGGCAAAGGAAATGCAGAGAAGTTTTGTTGAATGAGTGTACAGTATGCTGTGTAATGTATTCTCTCATAACTCCAGTACCTGTAGTGGAGTCCAGGGACTCAATGAACTCCTCTGTGGCATCCCCCAGCAGCCCCCTCATACGATAGATGATTCGCATTGGCTCTCCCTGTAGACGCAAATTGAACTGCAGTCAAAGAGAGACTAAAGCAAACTACAGGGACCTCAGTGGAAGAGCCACCTGCTAAAGATTTTGAAAGATTTTTTTTTACTACACAGGTATATGCAATTACATTCTGGATATTACTAGTTTTTTTAATAGAGGGTACACTCCAGTAATGCTGAATGCATGCGTTATTTCATTGTATGCATTTTATCAGGGCCTGATACAGAAACCTATTTAAAAACAGACACCTGAGAAAATGAGGCAAAACCCATAAGTCTTGGCACTTACCTCATTAGTAGGGCACCAGACCTTCTTATAAACTTCAGCAACCGAGAGGTCCAAACTAATGATTTTATTATTCACCAACAGCTAGGGCAAGAAATAAAAAATATTTTAGACAAGCTGCATGCTTTGTAAAACTTATTTCTATCTTGGGGGGGGGTGACCAATATATGTAGGCTAAGCCTAAAACTCATTTTCAAAGCACTGAAATAAACAGGAATAACACTTCATACCAGCATTTAAAATGTTACTAGCACTTCAGTTAAAACAGGACAACCATCTAAATAACATGCAAAAAGGTTCTAAGTACTAGTGGCAAGAAGTTGTCACAAACAAGATTTGGTTTCTTGAGGTGCACTAACTGGATATTATTCTTTCATTAAAACGATTGCTTCTTTACCAAGAACAAGAGGAAGGTTTGCAATAGGCGCAAAAACACAGAATAGAGTTTCTGCAGATTTCTGAAACAGCGCAGACTGTGCCAGAGTGGGCACCGAGTGGCAGGCCGGTGTCTGACGGTACCTCCATGCCACTGTCGTCCTCCAGCAGGGCCACCAGGTCGCAGTCCTGGCAGATCTTGTTCTTGATGTCCCTCATGAGCGGCCC